GGAATAGCTAGGTTACCCCAAGAAAGCCCCACAGTCTCTCAGAGCCTCAGGGATCTCATCTTGAATTTATAAAAACAATATCTAGTTTGCAAGGATTATTAGCCATTCAAAGATTGCCATGTCGGGCCGGGCCTGTGGCTCAAAGGAGTAGGGCGCCAGCTCCAAATGCCAGAGGTGGCGGGTTCAAACCCAGCCCCAGCCAAAAGCTGCAACAACAACCACAACAAAAATTACCATATCAAGCCTCAGTGCCAACTGCATGCTCCATAAATGGTGGCCAGGCCTTCAGTATTCTAAATATGTTGGGGGACAACTTTGAGAGATAATGAAGTTTTACACAAGTCACTCTGAGATTCCTTAAACAATGAAGGGGTGGTAAGAGGTACCACCTGTCCACCTGTCATGTGCTTGCTGTAGGAGCTCACACCTCTACATGCGTGTGACCCTCTGTAATGAAAGAGCAGGAAAAGGGCCACCAGAGCTAGGACTCAGACCTAGGTCTATGTGATGTCTGCACTCACACTCTGAGCCTCCCTGCCATTCTGTCTCTCAGAGCCAGAGAGAATGGATTCAACCACCTGCCTTTATGTTGGGGAGAACAAGCCCAGAGATGCCAAGAGAATTTCCCAACGTCACACAGACAGTAAATGGTGCAGCCAGAGGTCAGCCCTTGTCTGAGAAGGCACCAAAGCCTGGGAGCCTATCCTGTAGGGACACTGGCACCTCTGTCTCACAAGGAGAATAAAGAAGACAATGACATTAGCAAACACTGGGTGCTGACCATGGACCAGGCACTATTGTGAGCGGCTTATATACGTCAGTCCCTTACGTCCTTACAAAAACCTTGGGAGGTATCTGCATTTTACAGATAAGAAAACTGAGACAGAGACAAGACAGTAAGTAACTTGACCGAGGGCACAGAGATAGTGAGTGTCAGGGTCAGGACTTAAATCAGGTACATCCTCTTCATTATTGGAAGCAAGCAGATATCAAGCAAGGATTTAGTTTTTCCTACAAGTATTGCCTTTTCTCTGAAATGTTTTTCTTACAAGGCTCAGTGTTTCTTCAGTGACCCCGTGTTCCTCCCTGCAACCTGCCCCCTTCTGTCTGCAGCTGCCCTCTCTGCCTGCCAGAGCCTGGTGCACAACTCCCACCACGCCAGCCACCTGCCAACGCACCTTTGAAGTCATCTGGCCGGTCAAAACGCAAATGGATCTGGTCCCAGAAGCGGTGGCTGCTCTGGCACACGTTGGTGACACCGAAGCAGAAGCAGGGCAGGCAGGAGGCGCTGTGCTCCAGGTAGAAGTGTCCATCAGGGCAGGGACCTGCTGGGCAGCAAGGGATGGGCTGATGTTGGCCACCAGCTAGCAGCCCTGTCTACCCCACCCCAGTACCCTCCTGCCTTCCAGCCCATACCTCGCTGTGGGATGAGCTCCAGGACACCATCAGGAATGCCGAACACCATGCCCCGGGCATTCATGGCCTCACAGGTGTAGGCACCTTGGTCCGACTCTTTCACATCACGGATGGTCAGTGTGCCACGGTCACCCTCGCTGGTCACTGTCACCCTAGTGGGTCCCAAGACAGTGGTGAGGTCTGGCCTGGGTCACTGGACTGGTCTTCCCCAGGCTCCTACCCAGCACCCAAGTTCCCACCTTGGATGGGAGGGGATGTGGCCCCAGTTGAGCCTCCAGTTGATGATGGGGGTAGGGACACCGATGGCCACACAGGTGAAGGTCACTGTCTGGCCCCGGGAAGCTTGGATCGACTCCTGAGGAGGTGTCACCACCTGAGGGGGCACTAGAGAGACCAGGGCAGGAGTGAGGAGTCTGGGACAAGGGAGGAGGAGTGGGGGAGGGCTCAGAGGAATCAGTAGAGAGACAGAAGCTCTTGGAACCCAGTGCAGGGCCAGGACCCCATCCACCCTCAGTTCCCTGCTCACTGCAGCCGAACTCGTCGCTGCGGTCAGGACAGTCGCTCTCCTCGTCACAGTGGAAGCTGGCCGGGATGCACGTGTTTGTGGAGACACATCGGAACTGTGTGGGCCCACATACTTCCTCAGGGCGCTTGGCAGCTGGGGGACAGAGCCAGGCAGTGTGGGCACCAGTGCATTGCCCCCAGGGAGGACCACCCCTATTCTCTACCTACCCCCTACAGACCACCCTGTCCAGCTTCCCTGGTGTCCTCAGGGCCACTCTCCTCTCATCCATATAACCCAGAGCTGCCTTCACCAGGTCTAGCCACCGCTACATGGTACTGTCCACAACACGACATCCAGCATGACAGTCATCAGTCTCTGACAAATAGCACATCACGTCACACTGCCCCACCACTCACTCCACCTGTAGTTCCTCCTGAACAAAATTATACTTGGCACATCACTGTCACAATCACAGTGGCACCCAGCCACCCTCCAAGTCAAAGAAGTGCCATTCCCCACCCACAGACAAGATCCCCATCAAAGGCATACTGGTGACGCCATGACAGTTCTCTCTACCAGAAAGGCCCTACTAGGGACCAGTCACAGCCCCATCACCTGTGGGACTCACTCTGAATTCCCACTGACTACGGCTGTGCCTGACCTGGGGCAGCCACCTACAGCCTGGCCAGAGGTCTGGAGTTGGCCTGGCACCAGCAATGGGCCCCTGCTAGAAATTAGCATTCAAGACCAAAGTTGTCTCTCTCTTTTTTTTTTGAGACAGAGTCTCACTTTGTTGCCCTCGGTTGCTGTGGCGTCACCGCTCACAGCAACCTCCAGCTCTTGGGCTTAGGCAATTCTCTTGCCTCAGCCTCCTGAGCAGCTGGGACTACAGGCGCCTGCCACAATGCCTGGCTATTTTTTTGTTGTAGTTGTCATTGTTGTTTAGCTGGCCTGGCTGGATTTGAACCTGCCAGCCTAGGTATATGTGGCTGGAGCCCTACTCACTGAGCTATGGGTACCACCCCTCCCTCCAGTCTGGCTGTGGAGCAGGGGAGAGGAAGAAGGCAAGGAGGGAAAAGCAGATAGCCCACAGCAGGAATGTCAAGATGCACTCAGGAACCAGGATCCCAGGGAAAGGGTTTGAAGATTATCCTCAATCTCAGACTAACAAGCCTCAGGACAGGACACACAGGATGTGACCTGATGTGATCTCTGACTCTCCAGCCTCCCCACCTCGTTCACTGCCACAGTGTCCATGATGTATATAACATTGACTGGACAGATGGATATGATAGGGGTGAGTGGGCAGTGCAGAGATGGGTGGGTGACCAAAGGGATCAAGGGGCGGATAAGTGGACAGCTGGAAAGATGGTGGACAGATGGAGGGATTGTGGAATGGGTGGAGAGTAGGACAAGAAGAAGAGTGCTGGACATATGGATGGATAGACAGATGAAAAGCTGAGAAGATGATGGATGGACAGTTGGATGGAGGGGTGGGAGGACAGAAGGACGGGCAGTGGATGGCTGGGTAGGGAGATGGATGGATAGATGGTTGAATGGACAAGTAGATGGATGGTTGGATGAACAGGTGGGCGGACAGATGGATAGATGGTTGAATAAATGACCGAATGGACTGACAGATGGATAAAGAGCTGGGCAGATGGAGGAACAAATAATTCAGACCAATTTTAGAAGAAAAGCCTCCAGGCTGGTGTTTTCCAACCTTTTTTATCTCACGGCACACTTGAAACTATAGTCAAACTTCCGTGGCACACTTAAATTATGTTGATCAAAAAAAAAAGAGTGAAAAAAGAATGTACTTACTGTCCTTTGAACCTCTTGCAAAAGTCATTTTTTGATCTTTAAACATTTTTGCACTACCCCTAACATCCTCTCAAGGCACACCAGTGTGCGGGGGCACACGGGTTGAAAATCACTGCTCTAGGCTCACACAGGTAAGTTTTTGATTCGCTCACACATCAAGGACCCCATCATCAAGGGACCCCGGCATATCGAGCCCTCTTAGCCATTCATCTGGGCCACACGTAATACAAATGACAAAGAAAAGTTTCATAGTAACAAAAGAAAAGAAAGAGACACGGCTAGCGAGCCACACTGCATGCTCAAAGACCAGCTCAGAGCTGAGAGTCCTCACTGCTCTGGTCAGAGAGAGATAAGCCTTGAAGTGTCTCCCTGCTCTTCCCCCCTCGGCCAAGGAGAGCAAACTGACCTGCTGGAGAAGCAAGGGCAGAGGGGGCTGGGGTGGAGGGGCGGAGGAAGGAGAGGCAGGGTGGAGCAAGGGCAGGTAGGGGGCGGGGCA